CCGAGGAGGCGGGCCAGCAGTGCAGACCAGGCGGGCGCCAGCACAGAGAAAGGGGCTGTGAGCTGAGTGCGGCGCCGGCCTTCGCGCCGCTGGCCTTCGCGCCGCTCTCCAACGGCTCACATCAGCTGGAGCGAACGGCATGGCTGTGGCAAAGAACGCCGCTCATCAAAAGCTCCAGCCGTGCATGCATTGCCAGCACATACCGCCACCGCCGCCGGAAGCACAGCCACATGGCAGCCCGGCAGCTGTAGCCAAGGAGCAGTCCAGTGCGGTGCAGTGCAGGAAGAGCAGCGTGGCCGCAGAGGGTACCGGCGGTGGGGCAGCGGCCAAAGCACCATGATCCTGCGAGCGAGACGGCATGCTCTGGCAGCGAGCACTCGCACAGTGACTTGCGCTGCCAAAACTACTAGTAGGCACTGTTGTTTGCAAGCAGTGGCTGCAATCCCACAGATCGGCCTGCATGGCGAGCCCCGGCCTCCCGCATATGCCTCGGCTCGGGAGAGCCCCGCAGTGGCAGAGGACCAGTCAAGCCAGTGGCTAGATTCTGCCTTGCATGAACCGGAGCAGCACTTCAGCTGCTGGGATCGACGGCTAGTGATGAGAGGGCCGAGGCCCAACTCAGCAACTTCGCAGGCAGCTCGCAGCAAACCGGGCAGCACCATAGAAAATTGCTGGTCGCTGCAGTGCGTCTGGCAGCGCGCACCACCGGCGGAGCATCCCGACAGCTCGGGCTGGTTGCGGCGCCTCGCGAGGCGCAGCCAACGCTGCATGCAGCCCTGCTCCAGGGGGGCTTGCCGGCGGCACATCAGCCAGCAATCCGCTTAGGCGTTGTCATCGTGATTGGTTGAAGACGCAACACAAATTCACTGAGATGTAGTTGACTCCAAAGGGAACTGGGAGAGGGGGAGGAAATGCTGGGCGCAGGTGGCACTTGTGGTCTGGCTGCTACAGGGTACGGATCCCCCTGATGTGATGATGCACTGCTGTTCGCAAGCAGTGGCTGCAATCCCACAGACCGGCGGCCGCGCATAGCTCGGCTCGGAAAGCCGCAGTAGCAGAGGACCAGTCAAGCCAGTGCCTGGATTCTGCCATGCATGAACCGCAGCAGCACTTAAGCTGCTGGGATCGGCGCCCAGTGCCAACTACCTTGCAGGCAGCTCGCAACAAACCGGGCAGCACCATAGACAATTGCCGGTCGTTGCAGTGCTGCTGGCAGCGCGCACCATTGGCGGAGCATCCCGACAGCTCGGGCTGGTTGCGGCACCTCGCGAGGCGCAGCCGACGCTGCATGCAGCCCTGCTCCAGGGGGGCTTGCCGGTGGCATATCAGCGGGCAATTCGCAGAGGCGCTGTCATCCTCGAAAGGTTGGTTGCAGCCGCAACACAAATTTACTGAGATGCAGGGTAAATTTGAAGTGAATTGGAAGATGGGAAGGAAATACTGGGCGCAGGTGGCACTGCGGTCCGGCTGCTACAGGGGTGCGGCTCCCCCTGTAGCAAGGCCCGGCTGGTGCGGTGCTCCTGTAGCAGGCACTGGAGGGCGCCCCTGTAGCGCCCGCAACCACGGTGCTCCTGTAGCGACCGTACCGGCCGGCCGGAGCGGCAGGCAGTGCAGGCCTCCTGTAGCAGGCACTGGAGGGAGCCCCTGTAGCGCCCGCAACCACGGTTGCCCGCTGGTGCGGTGCTCCTGTAGCGACCGCACCGGCCGGCCGGAGCGGCAGGCAGCGCAGGCCTCCTGTAGCAGGCACTGGACGGTGCCCCTGTAGCGCCCGCCACCACGGTGGCCCACTGGTGCGGTGCTCCTGTAGCGACCGCGCCGGCCGGCACGAGCGGCAGGCAGCGCAGGCCTCCTGTAGCAGGCACTGGACGGTGCCCCTGTAGCGCCCGCCACCACGGCAACCCGCTGGTGCGATGCCCCTGTAGCGACCGCACCGGCCGGCACGAGCGGCAGGCAGCGCAGCTGCGGTGTGTGAGGGCTTGGTGCCCATGTAACGGGCATGCCGGCTGTCGCCAGGCGTCCTCCTGGAGCGCTGCCGGTGCGGCCTGCGGCGGCTCAGCACCGTTCCGGCCGCAAATCCGGTCCGTTCGGTACTTGTTGCTAGCTGTGAGGGTGGTGCTCTTGTAGCGGCCGCACCGTCCGGCCTGTGCGGCAGGCAGCTTTCGAAAGCTCAGCGCCTTCTCTCGAGCTCTACTGTGAGTGTCACAATACGCCAAGTGGCACTGGCCAAGCTGTATGAGCGCATCTGGGGTCGATTCCGCCGAGAGCACCTGTGTGTGAGTGCGGCCATGCGCACTGAGTTGCAACGGGGCTGGCATATCCAGGCCACCGTGTCTATGACCGCCCCCCCTCGCACTATAGACCAACTCCCATAAAGCAGCAGGTGAGCGAACATGGCTGTCCTTTTCATCATTGACTGGGCACCCGTGATGCCCTGCAAAAAGTACACAACCTGATTGTTGGCCCGTCATTCCCTTGGGAGGCTACTAATCCGTTGATGCTGTGCGCTTGAAGCTGCAGCCCCCAGCGTCAGATCATTGCCAGTCAGCCGCAGAGCCAGTGCGGCTTCCCATGACGACTGGAATAACTTAGTGGACCAGGTGGTCCTTCGACATTCAGAAGACCGACAAATGCAGTGTGCGGGATGGCCTGTACTGAGGCTTGCATGGTCTCTGAAGTCGAAGGCGTTTAGGTCATGGTGACATGGTGTCACACATTGCGAACCTGCATCGGCGTCGGAGCGATGGAGGGGCGTGAGGACGGGCAGGAGCACAGCTTAACGGTGTGCACGGAGCGGCTGGGGTTTGCAGGTGGCAGGGTGCACTTGCGAGCGGACCAGCCTGTCCTCATATTCAGCAGCACCGGCTGGACGCCCGACGAGGACTTCCAGATCTTCCTGGATGCAGCACGGCAGATGATGCCCGGGGAAGTCAGCCCTCCACCATCAGTACGTTACAGGACAACATCTCTTCGGGTGTAAGCTGCCATGGTTCAAGCAGGTACTTCCTGAGATGCTGCGTGTACACCGTTAGGGACATGTGACTTTTTGGGCCTGGAGAGAATATAGTGCCAACATGAGAGCATCCCATCAGTGACCTGGCCATGGTCAGCCTGTCGCTCAAATAGCTTTGTGACAAGATATTATTGGTCTGCACGTGCGCATTGACGTGAGCAGCCGCTGAAAGTTCTGTGTACACGCAGGCAGTGGAGCGGAGGGGGAGCTGGTGGTAGTGACAGGGAAGTGGCCTCAGCAGGCCTGGTATGTGGAGCGCGTGGCTCTTTGCACAGCCTGGCTGGAGGCGGCCGACTGCCCGCTACTGCTGGGCGCCGCCGACCTGGGCGTCTGCCTGCACACCTCCTCCTCCTCCTTCACCTCCTCCTCCTCCTCCAGATGTGTGTCTTGAATGACCTGAATGACAGGTAGAGTTGAACCTTGCACCGCTCATTGCTGTTGTGACATTTTAACTTGCAGCTCCCCGATTACAAATAAACAAAAACTGGATTCTC